AGAGACTCGCTCGAGCATACTCACTGTCGATAACTCAACCTACTTGTTCCCTAGTATCCAAAGGATTCTTACTTGGACTGCGCACTGATCCGGTGTCTTCAGTAGTACGGGCCCTATACTACCGTCCACACCGCATCAATATTCACCCCAAGTCCTCCTCCTTGGATCCCAGATCACAAGTACTCTACATCTCGCTAGCATAGGCTACCCTTCGGTAGGCCTCTCATAAGCACCACACTACTACCTACTCACTCTCAAGCATCTTATAGCAGCAGAAATCTTCCTAGGATAAGGCATCACAAATCAGGCCACTCTAGTCCTAATATGAATACCTAGCCTACTTTAGCATAACATATCTCATAACACATAATGTAAGGGTATTTTGGGAAATCACCTTTCGGGCGCTGGCTGATCGTACACACTCCTTCTTTCTGCTTTTCTCAAATTCTTTTACTTCTTAGAAAAATTGTTTATTTTATGAAATTTTTTCTCAAATCATCACTTTGAGTTCAAATACACCCAAAGATGCACCCAAATCCCTCGAACCAAGGCTCTGATACCAACTTGTAACGACGTGAATTTTCAAAACAATTTTTCATTTTTAAAACATACGTTCATTCACAAGATAATATCAAAACATAATGTATCCAATGTTATCATAACAATATAAATCCCAAAATCTCAAAACATGAACTCCATGAGTGTGAACAGATCACGCCGGTGCCTTCCCGCGATCCTCGCTAGAACTTGAAACACATAACACATAACACGGTAATCATAAATGTTTAGTGAGTTCCCCAAAATACCACATACAACACATACACCTTTCCAGGCCATAAATCTATGGGACCTTCCAATCCAAGTGTCTCAGGGGACTTCCATCCCGAATCCCGGAAGACCTTCCGGTCCTACCCTTATCGTCCTTCCGGTTCGTAACCTCCTGACCCTTCGGTCCATGTCATATTGACCTTCCAGTCCTTATCATACATAACATACATAACACATACATATCACATAACAACATATAGCACATACATCTTATAGCATATAAGACCTTCCGGTCACACATAGGTACCCTTCCAGGTACAGTATAGTGAGAAAACTCACCTCGGGTAACTCAGTAAATCTCGGACTCGGTAATACTAGTCTAGCCTCCACCTAATCACATGGAATAATTTCTCTTAGTCAATATAACTCTCAAGGCTAGACTAATCCCTCTCTAGGTTCTCCCAGAAGGGTAAAAGACCATGTTACCCCTCTTTTGGCTCAAAGATCCAATCAATGACTAAACCCTAAAAGTCAATAAAATTCAACCCTTCGGGTTACGCTGCGCATACCAAATCTGTACGCTTGGCGTACCCGGTGACGTCACAGAAACAGGGGAACGCGACCCTTACACTGCGCGTACTGGGATTACGCCCCGCGTAAATCCCAGTTTCATGCTCCTTTGATTTTTGGGTGTTAATCGGTTAAGACAAATACTCATACTTTAGATCTGACTTACCAAAGGTCTCTTAATCCGTAAAGTCGAAGCCTTTAAGCCTTTGCATGGCTGTAAAGGTCCTTAATCACTCTAACACCTTTCCTCTTTCCTAATAATGTCTAGATCTCATGCATGGATCACTATTCACGTTCAAGATTTGATTTTTATGAGCCCACAACTCATGATACTCTGGAATAGAGTAGATCTAAGCTGATGGAGACCTTTTGCTCATAAAGTCTCCACCTTGGGACCAAAAACCCTTAATAATTGGTGCATGAAGCACAAATCAATAATAACAAGGAAAGCTTTGAGCTTTTTACCTCCAAATGAAGCTTCTTCTTCTGTAGAATTCAGATCCAAGTTTGCATTCCAACTTCTAGCCTCCACAAGAGCCTCCTCTTCTTCTCCTCTAACACACAAAGGTACTTTTAGCTCAATAATCCTCACACACTAGCTTGGAATGAAAATATCACTCTCTTAGGGTTTCTCTCTGAGGAATGGTGGCTGGAGATATGACCAACACATTCCTTTTATAGTCCACAAGCCACAATTAGGGTTTGTATCTAGGCCCGCTATGCCCAGCGTAATCTTGGGTACGCCCAACGTACCTAGGCGGGTCCACATCTAACTTAAGCGCATGAGTACGCGCATTGTACTCCTTAGTACACCCAGCGTACTCATCAGCTAAAGCATTACTTTAGGGACTAATCTTGAAAACTTGAAAAGGAATAAGGACTAAATGATTGTACCTGAATTTCAGGATGTTATAGTATTTGGAATGCTCCTGAGTCCTCGGTATGAGTCTGGCATGCCCTGCCCGACACACAGCTCATATCCGAAATACTTTAGGGTTTGTTGGTGACCGCACGGAGGAGTACAACCTCAACCTATCCCTCACAAAATATCGACATATAACATGACTAATGCATATATAGAAAATTCGGAAATAACACATGTAGTCCTACAGATCTACCAAATTGGCGTAGTAACTAGCATGCATAACTAACTCATACTCAACATAATACCAACTGCTAGGATATCAGATCCAATGGGTTGGAATTGGTGCCTTCGACCCCTTATTATAGTGAGGATAACTCACCTCACACTGCTGATATCCTGCGGATAAACTCCAACTACTGGTTGACAGATTCCCAAGCTATCAATCATCAAAATAAAACCCAATTAATATTTGGGTTCCAATACATAACCATAAGTCCATTCTTGGGGGAAAAAGATACTTTACTCCCAACCTAGCTTGATTCAAGCCCAAGGCCCAACTTATAGTCTAAGGCCTAAAAGTCAAGTAATGGGCCAAAGCCCAGTTTTTCAAATTGGGCCCATACCTCTACATGGTCTTTCCTAAAGGCCCATCCAATTATTTTAGTTCAAACTCTTGGTATTCCATTGGCCCAATATCACATAATCATTAAGGCCCAGTTATGGCCCAATTTTCCAAATTAGGCCCAAGTCCTTTACATGGGCCTTATCCTAAATCTCATCCAATTATTTTGGTCTGTTTACTTGTTCTTGGATAGCCCATCAATAGTCAAATTGTCAAAGCCCAATAGGAAGGCCCAATTGAAGGCCCAAGTGAAATTAGGGTTTTCACATGAAATGACGATTAGGGTTAAGTGTTCTTACTTAACCCATTAATGACTTAATCCATTAAGTCCAATATTGCCTTGGGTTAATTTGCAAATGATTATTAATTAACATTTTTATTTTAGTAATTAATTCAAGTGCGGGTCCCGATAAATCCCCAAAATTAGGGTTTCATGACATTACGGTTTTCCAAGCCCTAATTAGGGTTTCCAACCTAATACTAGCCTATTAGTAACATGATTGGGCTTTTAGGTCAATTAGCGCTTCATTGGGCCCATTAGGGTTTCATTAGGCCCACTAAGGTTTCATTAGTCGGGCACCACCCATTACCACCTCGGGTAGTGGTGGTTAATGACGGCTCATGGCGACGACCACTACCTCACGATGGTGGTTATGGTTCTAGTCCATTTTGTCCAAGCATCTCAAAATCAACTAAGCACAAGCAAAAGCACACCGCCACCCAACACGGCAGCTGGTGGTGGTTATGAGTTTTCTTTATTACACTATTCACCAATTACAATTTACTATGATTTAACCCAAAAACAAACACACACACACTAATGGATAAACACACACATAGGCACCCTTGTGGTGGCCGGCGGTGGTAGATGGTGGTAGCCACCACCTCACGGTGGTGGTGGTGACTTTTCCGGCGAAATAAACACCTAAACACCACTTCACTATAATAAAAACACATACACACATGTCTTGTTTGCAAAAAGGACCCAACCACCTACCTGGCGGCGTTCGGTGGCGGCAGAAACAGTGTTGACGGTGGCAACCACAATGGTTGGACGCCATGGTGGTCCTTCACGACTTGCTCTCATCAGAAAACTCACGTGCCTGTGTCTTCACCTTGTTACAGCAACACACACGCAACAACTTCACAAGTCTACGATCTCAGCCACCATTTCATGGTGGAAGAAGGGTATTCCCGGCGACAACTTGGTCTTTAACGAAAATGGGTAGTGACGGTTAACAGTGGAGTAAGGAACCAGAAGAGTGAGATGAATAGGTAAGGGGCGACACCATTACCAGAAAGAGTGATGTAACAGTGGCGCCTTTGCTCTTGGTGGGGTTTTCTACGGCCATTCATGATGTCACAGTCGGCATGGGCTGTGGTGGTGGTGCTCGAAGACTCCAATAATGGTGGTTTGCGACTAGACAGAAGGGGAGGGGGGTTAGCAACGCCGAAGATCGGAAGAACAAGGGGTGGTGGCAGATGGAGGGACAACGGTGGAGAGGGTGGCAGCTGCATAGTGTACCTAGGGTTAGGGTTTGTGGTCGATGCATGGTGACGGGTTTAATACCTGATCACACAAACTTTGTGTCCAAAGAACACCTTTGGTCCCTCCTTCCCGATTTATTTTCAAGATTAGGCTAATTTACAAAGTAGCCCTCAACATCCAAGGTTCTTTCATATTAAGTCCTTATGTTACCAAATGGCCCTCCACTTTGAGAATCTTTTGCAAAACAAATCCAGAAATTACACTCTAACCATCGAAACTCTACATCATGTCATTTGGCTTCCCGAAACCAACACCCCGCTAATTATTATTTGATTTTGGGCTATAATAATCTAAGTACCTTCTATCTGCTGAAATGCATATTTCCTAGCATTTCTGCATTGTCCAACATTTGCTATCAGGTTAAACCTTTTACCGACCTGAGCTTTCGATTTCTTAATGCTCATCGTTGGTTTCTATAATATCTCATTCATGAAATGAGTTCCAATCAATTTGTATCTTACAGTGGACCTAAATTTGAATACTCTTGCATAATTATGCCTATCAATTAAGGACTTAATTTGAAAAGACCTCCCATTCTTCATCCAGGTTGCCCACAACCTAAAGGGACTACTCTTATTCTTCTTATTTTCTTATGTTTACAACATTTTGCCAACATCTTTTGATGATCATTTTTTTTCAAACCATAAATAATACCCATTCTTGACGGCATAGTTGGTTAGACACAACTTCAATTCAAGAGGGTTGGAAAACTTCATACCTAAAACTGGGACCATTTTATCCCATTCTTGATTCTCATCAAAGATAGGGAACATAACCTCATCATCTTCATCACTAACTTCATCATCATCATCAGCAGCATCATCATTTACTTCTTCTTGATTACTATTAAGAATGGGTTTACCACACAACTTGTTCAAAAATTCATCATCAACTGCTTTGTCAAACATATGCACCCCTTCATCAGGTTCATGCTCACATTCCAGTATATCTGAAAATTGTGACTATGTATCATCATCTTCTATCAACTCAAACACCTTATCACCTGTTAATATCTCCTTATCGACCCAATCAAGAATAGGTTTGTTTTGGTGGTTAATGTACACATTCATCCTTAGCTCGTTCTTAGCCATGTAAGCATCTTCAATAAACTCAAAATAATTATCATCGTTGTCGATTCTTCTAATACCCTCTAGCAATCTTTCATGAGTACTACAATAGTACAAGTTATCACAACTTCATCTTGTCAGCTTTGAAACCCACAACATAAATTCTCTATACTCCATGCCACCAAAATCCACATCACGAACTGACATTCTCATAGGGTCTAAGTACACTAACGGGTTTGGTGCAAACATGTTGTTGTAGTGAAAATCTATAGTGAGATACGTACTGTTAGGTGATTCCATTGTAGTGTCTATAGTTGACGATTTCAAGTCCCAACTTTAGTTCCTACTACTTCGATCGAGTGAATTCTGAGAAAAATTAAGTAACCGGGAATGATTTGGGGAAGGATTTGGGAGTATTTTTAAAGAACCCTCATTAAATGAGGTCGATTCACCTAATTAAGTGAAGTCGATTCCGGACAAAGGGTGTAATAGATACGTCATATGCCATGTAATTTCTTTTCCCTTTCTTTTAAATGAGTTAATTTGCGTTATCGGGTAAAATGGAGGTTAGTCGGTAATATTGGTATAATTTAAACAGTTAAAACAAGTTAGTTGCTTTCTTATATACAAATAAAGAAGTTGCCAATATATGAACACAGATAAAAAGTAGTTACCCTCCTAAGTCATTTTCCCCCTTCTTCGATCGTGGCCTAGTAAACAAATGTTTCCAGATAATGTTTGGTATGATTGGAACAAAGTCAATATAAAACTTTGACCAAGTCAAATAGGACTAAATCATTGATTTTTAGTCTCACTCAGAAACATGGAACATAGTGGAACAAGTAGAACAAATGTTACAATGGCACAGAAGTCCATGGGTTGCTCTTTTAATTGTCTTCACCTCCTGAATCATCTTCCCCATCAACATTCCAGTGAACACAATTCCTTCTCCAATGAAGCTTCACCTTCCTCTCTTGTCCTTTCCTCTCTCTCTCTCTCTCTCTCTCTCTCTCTCTCTCTCTCCTTCCCTCCCTCCCTCTCTCTCTCTCTCTCTCTATATATATATATATATATATATATATATATATATATATATATATATATATATATATATATATATATATATATGCTTCTCTTCCCACCGATACGTTTTTCTTCCTCTTCTGATCCACTGTTACTTCCCATTTTCGTCATACTCTGTTTTTTTTTTTTTTTTTTTTTTATTTTTATTTTTTATTTTTGGTGATTTGTTTCTCGTTGTTCTTAATCTATACCTGGTATCTCTTAAGATATGAGTCAACAATCTTTGTCCTCTCTTCATAAATACTTTAATTTTTTTTCTTTTGATTTGCATCCTGATCGGCATCGATGTACTCCCCAAGGCTTCAATTTGATTATTGTTATTGTTAAATATGCAAAAAGATTTTAAGAAATGGGGTTTAGGAATTAGGATATGTCAAACTCCACCTAGAATTTCACATTTATCAATGATATCTAATAAATTATTGAATCTGATATCACGTACGAGTTATTATATAGTAAAATGATCTTAAAAACGAAATTATATTATAAAAGCGATCTTAATAAATTATTGAATCTGATATCACATACAAGTTATTATATTATAAAACAGATCTTAAAACCGAAATGATCTCATATTATTATATAATAAAACATATTAGTCATATCTTAAATTTTAACAGATATAAGTTATAAAGTTTTTTTTTTATACAAATCAATTATACATAAATAATTCATAAATACTTATGAAAACTTTGAAGATTTGAACTAAAGAAAATAATTAATAAATTCAATTTGGAGCAAATTGAAAATTTAAAATAATAAACTCATGTCCATAAAATAATTTATATTTCTTAAACTAAACATCAATATTAATTAATTTGCATTTTTAGTATAAACAGACGATATAAACATAAGGTATAAACATACATATTTTATTTAAAAATAATAATTTTTTATTATATAATAACTAATAATAAAATCTAATAAATATTTATCCGTATGAAACTATTCGCTAAGAAATCTATTTATCACCGCCGCACGACACACGTCTAGTATTATGAAAGGATCTTAATAAATTATTGAATATGATATCACATATAAGTTATTATATTATAAAAATATCTTAACAACAAAATTATATTATAAAAAGATCTTAAAAACAAAATGTAAAAAAGATTAGATAAGTTTTAAGTATAATATAGTAATTTTATCATTTTGTTCTATTGTGTTCTTATTATCCCAAACACTGTATTAAAAATCAATTTTAGTTATGTTCTATTCAGTCCAATCCAATTTTGTCCCATTACCAAACGCTACCTCAGATATAGAAAGAAGATTGTTAATGTTTACCGAGTTAGGTCAATCATTTATTTGGGGCATTACTTTACATGCATTTATATCTACAAACGATCCATAAAATGGGCTCCTGATCACTTCATAAATATGTTGGAACTCAACTGACAATTTCCTTACTTTCAAAAACTAAAGAATGTTGTTGAGATTATGTAAACCGAACATGTTATGTGTCATTGACGGGCCCCGGATACGCGGGGAGGCTCATTATACGCTTGTCAACGACAGGACCACCAACCGTGAAATGATAAAGGCTTTGATAGTTCGATCCCGTTAACCCAAGAACATCATGCACTGCAAATCAACAAAATGGATGTGAGGCAATATTAATGTACATTCTTTTTATTTTTTTACTTATAATGGCAATATACTAATGTTGCTATTGCGGGTAAACAATAAATTACATTGTTATCGGTAAAGAAATGTAATACGTTGTTATAATGGGTATATAAGAAATTAGATCGGTAAAAAAAAATGCAAGTACGATACTATTATGGGTAAAAATATACAAGTATGTTGCTATTATGGTTAAAAAAGCATATGTTGCCGTTGCTATAATATGCAATTTGCCCAAATATAAATATCCAAGATTCACCATTCGCATAATTTCTACATTTTTGTTTTATAGGTACTTGAAACTAAACGGGAAACAAAATCATTGTTTCTCTAAGACTATATTATTAGGATCGATAATTACAAAAGGTTAATTATAGAATTTGTAAGTATGTTGCCATTATGAGTACCAAAAAAAAATTGCTATTATTTGTAAAGACATTGAAGTATGTTGCTATTATAGGTAAGTATATAAGTATATTGCTATTATGGTAGAGTAGTTGAAAGAAAGAGCAAGAGTTGCATACCGGGATCATCAAAGAAGCAACCAATGCCAGTTGCAGAAATCCCAATGGCATGTGCTTCAAGATACAAGACTTGACCAAGAACTCCGGTTTCCCAAAACAAACGTGGATACATCCACACGCCTTTGTCCTTTAAAGTTGGCTCAAGATGTGCCACCATACCAAGACTAAAACAACCATCACTTGCTATATCCTACACCGCAAACTTCATTTTCAAATTTCCACCATTGTTATTGTTTTTAGCTACTAAACTATTTTCTATATTGATTAATCCATTATACTTTATCTATATTATTATATAGAATAGCATAACATACTTTTACCATTATATTGATTTAGCTGCTTCACTATTTTTGTAGCGAAAAAAAATACTTAAGTGGCTAAATTGATAAACGGTGAAAGCAAGTTATGCTTTTCTATATCGTGCCTCGACTTTAATAGTGATGTAAGTGGATGTCACCGTCTTCAATGTATCATGTATGCACAAAATTAGGTGCAAACATGTTTTTTTGGGATATTAGCAAGAAATAGCAATGTACTTCCATATATTTGTTTATCCTATTTTTATTTTTGTTTTATTCGATCATTGTACTTTCAGTCACTTTCTTGTTTAGGCATTGCACTTGAAGATCTACCCAATTATAGATTTGTGCTTTCTACCCTTTTCTTATAATGACATTTTACATTTTACATTATAAAAACCATACAATTATCGCAGTGAAACTTGTTTCTATTTGAACGATATTGCTATGATAAGGTAAATTTTTCAAAATATAATGTTGTAATAGAAAACATGGTAGTAGGATGCTACAATAAACAAATAACTTGAAGTACATTACTATTTCTTGCATTAAGATCATAAATTTTGGGTTTTACTACAATGTATGCACTCTAACAGTCTAACTATAGGCCATAATCCTAATTATTCTGATCAAGTGTTTATTATAGCAAGAAATAGCAACGTGCTTTATATTTATTTGCTTATTGTAGCATCCTAGATTCATTTCTACCTATAACAACATTCTACTTAGTAATATCTACCCAGTTATATCAATATCATTGAAATACAAAGCATAATTGAGTAGATTTTTCAATTACAATGTCCAAATAAGAAGAAGAAAAAAAAAAAAAAAAAAAAAAAAAAAAAAAAAAAAAAAACAGATTAGCTGATCCTGTGAAATTAAAAGACAGGTACCTGATGACATGAAAGATGTTTTGAAAGCTTCATGCAATCGGCTCTTCCAAGCTCATATAAAGGCAACTCCAATGGACAACCTTCTGGTTTTTCCCACTTAAAATCAGATCTTGTGGCCTTTTTAAGATCATCAAAGTGTTCTTCATTTCTAACAAGAAAATACAACCCTTTTGCCAAACCAACTACTCTATGTACAAACAATACACAATGCACTTCACTGTCCCAATCCATGGCTCGATATGGTAATCCCAATTGACGTTTTTGCCCTTCTTGAAAACCCGAAGGAAGACAATGAAGTAATATCTGATAGAATTTTTCTTTTTCTATTGATGTAACTCCATCCATATCAACTGCACTCCTACGTTTCCTAACAAGTTCTCTTAAAGTTAAGGGATTGTATGGATTCGCACTTAAATTTCCACTCTTTTGAAATGATTCGATAATGAAGTTTTTCTCTGTAGTTAATGGCTTTTTTATGGCTTCGGATGTTTTATAGATTATATCCCAACATATGTGTTCTTTGCTAAGTGAATTGGGTTCTCCTTTCCAATCTAATTTGGAGAATTTTGAAATGGCCAAGCTTAAATCTTTATAATTTATATCGATTTCTTGAATTCCGTTTGGAAAAACAAGAAGCAAACAATCAGGATGTTCAAATTCAATCTCGTTAAGTTTACCTTTCACTGTTGTTGATGGAATTTTGAACTCCGGATAAACATCAAGCCCCATTAGTTTCTTCAATTCGTCATGTCCCAATCCATCTAGCAACTTCACGTCCCACCCCTGACCGGCGGCAGCCATTGAGACGGCGGCAATGGCATGACCAACGTCATGGTTACAGTACCTGAAAGCTCTCTCGCCGTACTTCCAAG